ACTGGGCTTCCCTGGTGGCTAGGTGGTAGAGAATCTGCCTGCAAAGCAAGAGACCCAGATTCGATCCTTGGGTAGGGAAGACACCCTGGAGAACGAAATGGCAATGCACTCCAGTATTCTTGTCTGGACAATCCCATGGGCAGAGGAGCCTGGTGGGCTACAGTCCATGGGGTTGCAAAGAGTTGGACACGACTGAGCTTCTGAGCATAGTGGTGACCAAATACCGTAAAAGTCTAGCTCTAATAAAAAGTACTGGATTTACATTTCAAACACTCTAAGTTTGACCACGTTCCCCTGTGCCTGACATTCTTATATGATATGAATACTGCCAATAAAAGCTACATTTACCAAGCCTGATTATGTAAATAAGAGCATGGAGTCAGACATCCTAGGTTTAAATTCTGCTTTGACTATTTATTTACCCTTTGAGCTTGGGCAAGCTATCAGACTTTGCAGTCCCTCGGTTTTTGCTTCTATAAAAGGAGGATATAACAGTCTCACAGAGTTGTTGTGAGTATCTGAGCACCTGGAAGAATGCTTAGTTCAGAAAAAGCATTAAATTAATCTTAACCGCTGCCACCACTATTTTTTTTTTCTTTTCTTTTTTTTTATTTTTCTTTTTAAAAAATATGGAACGCTTCATGAATTTGCGTGTCATCCTTGCGCAGGGGCCATGCTAATCTTCTCTGTATCGTTCCAATTTTAGTATATGTGCTGCCGAAGCGAGCACATGTCTGTGCTTTTTAATACGCTATCCAGGTTTGTCATAGCTTTTCTTCCAAGGAGCAAGCGTCTTTTAATTTCATGGCTGCAGTCACCATCTGCAATGATTTTGGAGCCCAAGAAAATAAAGTCTCTCACTGTTTCCATTGTTTCCCCATCTATTTGCCATGAAATGATGGGACCAGACACCAGGATCTTTGTTTCCTAAATGTTGAGTTTTAAGCCAACTTTTTCACTCTCTTTTACTTTTATCAAGAGGCTCTTCAGTTTCTCTTCACTTTCTGCCATAAGGGTGGTGTCGTCTGTGAGTCTGAGGTTATTGTTAATTCTTCTGGCAGTCTTGATTCCAACTTGTGTTTCATCCAGGCCAACATTTCGCATGGTCTACTCTGCGTATGAGTTAAATAAGCAAGGTGACAATATACAGCCTTGATGTACTCCTTTCCCAATTTGGAACCAGTCTTTTGTTCCATCTCCAGTTCTAACTGTTGCTTCTTGACCTGCATACAGATTTCTCAGGAGTATTTGAATGCCTGTTTTCAATCCTTTTGGGTATATGCTGCTGCTGCTGCTAAGTGGCTTCAGTCGTGTCCGACTCTGTGCGACCCCATAGATGGCAGTCCACCAGGCTCCCCCGTCCTTGGGATTCTCCAGGCAAGAACACTGGAGTGGGTTGCCATTTCCTTCTCCATTTGGGTATATATTTACACCCAAAAGTATGAGTGGGTCATATAGTAATCCTATATTTAACTTTTGGAGGGTGCTTTTGGCTTTCTTCCCCCAAAGGGAAAGGTACAGTCAGAGGAATGGGACCTACCAGATAGCCAGTCCAATTTGTGCCTACTCCTCTCAGGCAGCCCTTGACCTTGTCTTTAACCTCTCTGTCCAGCAGAGAATGGTGAGTGCTATGGCCCCCTTACACACCTGGCCTCTCTTCCCTAGGGCTGTGTCTGGCTGTCCCTGAGAAAACTGTGAGATGGTGCACTGTCTCGAATCTTGAGGCTAGTAAGTGCTATAGTTTCCACGACAATATGAAGAAAGTCCTCTCAGTGGGTGGTCCTCAGGTCACCTGTGTGAAGAGAACCTCTTACCTTGATTGCATCAGGGCCATCGCGGTAAGTCACTGCTGTCTAAGAAGAGTGGGGGAAAATCCATACTTTCTTGTTCTTTTTCTGTACTTGCTATAGTCTATTGCTCTAGAACAATTTTATCCCCAAAGGAACTCGACTTGAAAGTACAGGGACTGTGTGTAGATGAAAATATAGGTGCTCAACATTCATTAATAGTGAAAACAGCAATATTAATAATATTTAAACAACTGATAGATAAGGATTCAGTGAGAATGCCCATAGTAAAGCAAAGCCAGATTTATACTGAGAGAGAAATGTATAAATACTCATAAATAAGCAAGAAGTTTTAGTGTCACTGTTATTACTTAATATTGTTTTTGGGATTTCCTAGTAATGCAATGATATAAAATGACAGAAACAAACAAAATGTCAATATTTTCATATGCTTACATGCCTATAAAGCATAATGAAATCAAGAGAAGTACTACTATAATTATTAATGAAAAAAGTACTTTGGTAAAAGATAAATATATCACAATTTAATGTCATTTTAACTGTCAGTGGTCACTAGTTGGGGAAAAAGAACCCCAAATTATGATCTTATTTATATGTAAGATGATACACAGAAAAATGTTTCGGGGAAAAAATTATATGAGAGATCTGTAAGATTACTATAAATATAATACAAAAGCCTGAGGCAAATGAACAGTATTATTAATAAATTAAAACATATGCCATATTCCCAGATAGGAAGACTAAACTTCATATATTTGCATATTCTCCCACAGTTGATTCATAAATTTAATATAATTTTATCAAAATTATATTAAAAAATTTTTAAGTCAATAAAATAACTTTGCAATTCTTAAGTGTGGATGAGAATATAAAATAGTATTATGAAAATTAAAATGAGCAGGGGAGTAGCTGAGGCCTGTCTGAAACTAGAATATATTTAATAACAGTATTGCAAAGAACAAGGTACTTGGACAGATGTAGAAGGCCTGGAAGAGAACAAGATTTAGACATATTTCCAGCTTTCTAAAAATAGCTAATTATCCACGTGATATGATATAGATGCAAACTATGAATGTCCAGCACTATGACATTGGGTTCCAGACTTAATGGTTAGATCCACATAGATTTAGACCCTGTGTGACAAGGCAAACTTTCCAAACAAAAGACCAAGGAAGGATTGTTTAGTTGGACAATTGGATAGCTATTTAGAAATAAAATCAACCGAGATTTTTAATACATTTACCAAAATAAACTCCTAGCTTGACTCAATTTGGCTAATGTAGCTGGATATAACGAGATACATCACAAAAGTAGACAAATTTGGAAATGTAAAAATTCTAAGTCTCTGACCAAAAAAAAAATTAAAGTCTTAAGCCTACAGAAAAGTATATTCACATCAGCTATAACAAAGCAGTGTGATCTAAAAGCTATATAAAGATGTCATTTAAACTTATAAGAAATGCTTAAGAATAACAAGCTATAAACAAGCTACTCACAGAAATTACAACTAATAGATGATATAAACAAGGAAGCAAAATGCTTCATCCTTTTTAATAATCAAAGAAATGCAAATAAAAGCATCCTTAAAATAACAGTTTATATTTTTTAATGTAGTATTATTTCTTAAAAGATAGCATTTCTTGCTGATAGTTTTGCTTGACATGAATTTTTGAGAAGAGGGTGTGAGGCTACTGCTTTTCTCAGGAAGGAAGGAACCCTTGACAGATTCTTGAAGAGGCAATCCAGACTTAAGAGTGTAAAACATGACTCTTTTGGATGGAAATGCCAGATGGAAATGGAGAAGAGGGTGACAGAGGATGAGATGGCTGGACAGCATCACCTACTTAGTGGACATGAACTTGGGCAAACTCTGGGAGACAATGATGTGCAGGGAGGCCTGGAGTGCTGCAGTCCATGGGATCACAGAGTCGAACACGACTTGGTTACTGAACAACGGCAACATGGATGGAGATATTCTGATTCATTCACTCACTTGTCCAGCAACATTTGTTGTACTCCTATCGGTAATAGGTGCCGGGCTTTGTTAAGATAAAACAACAGAACACTGACTTGCCCACCTTGGTGGAGCTTGCATTCCAAAGGGGAGGATAGACAATAAATGAAGAAGGTTTGTCAGATGGTTGCTAAGGGCTCAGGAGAAAAATAGTGTTTCCAGCATTTGTGAGGTGGTAGTTTTAAAAGCATGGTTGGGGAGAGGTTTTTGAGCCAACATGAGGAAGGTGGAGGAGATCTGAGCTGTGCAAATATCCCAGGGGATACAAGTGACCCTGGCAGAGGATTAAGTGAGTCTTCCTTGGAGCTGAGAGGCTTCATTCACGCCTGGCCCTTCTTCTTCCAGGCACACGAAGCAGATGCTGTGATGGTGGATGGAGGTTTGGTCTATGAGGCAGGCCTGAGGCCCTACAACCTGAAGCCTGTCGTGGCAGAGTTCTATGGGTCAAAAGATGGTGCGTCCCCCGTGAGGACCCGGGTCTCTGTCCTGACACAGCTGCTGTGGGGGGAGGCAAGGACTCTGTCGGGGTTATACTTGCAGAGAACAAGTTGCTGGGGCTCTTTGTACTGTGGAAGGCTGTCCCCAGTGCTGACCTGTGGGGGCTGGGACCTTGGCTCTTTCTGGGAAGCTGTGAACTTTAAGCCTCCTGATGGGAATGCTGCTGACTGAGAGGGGATGTGCTGTCCAGAGTCCACTGCCCACTCAGTGGGGTTGCATCAATGGGACGCCTCTCTGGAGACACATATCCCCTCTCCTTTTGCCAAGTGCCCTGCAGGTGCTAGAGAACACGGGGCAGTGAATGTTGTGAGAAGGGACTTTAAAGAGCTGAAGAATGAGGTGCCTGTCCTATTTGTCCGTAAATGTCACCAGTGTGTGCTGGAGTACATCTTGCCTCAATCTGAGTCCAACTTGCAGGCCCCGGCAAAATGTTTGGATGCCCTGTGTGCCTTCCTCCCACACCTTCACCTTGTGGCTGTGCTGCAGACAGAGGAGCAGAGAAGGGGAGAAGCAGTAACATCACGATGACTGGGAGCTGTAGGTCCTCCAGTCTATTGCCTTGAAAAGGGACAGTTTGCTTTCTTCAGTCGATCAGGGGGCCTTTCCCTTTACTTTTCTACCTGTTTACTAGAAGGTGCTGCAGGTCCTAGACTCCCCCAGGCTCCACTGCACACACTCTGGAAGTTTGGTAGCAATGATGTGGCATCTTGCCTCGGCCCTTCTTTCTCTGCTGCTTTGCAGATCCACAGACTCACCATTATGCTGTAGCTGTGGTGAAAAAGGGCAGCAACTTCCAGCTGAATCAGCTCCAAGGCAAGAAGTCTTGCCACACAGGCCTGGGGTGGTCTGCCGGGTGGAACATCCCCATGAGGATACTTCTTCCCTCTGACTGGTCCCAGGAAGGTAAGCTAGCCAGGGTGGGGTGCCCTTGGGCAGGGTTCCTATTACTGGGACTCACAGATTGCATTGGGGCCTTGCAATCATTGCCAGGTGTACGGGTTTCATAAAGTCCAAGATGGGGTGAGGACAACTTGCTTTAAACATGTACTGGCTGGGTTTGCTACATCAGTGACCCTTGTGACTGGCAGCTGAGACTTCCCTTCCTTCAGCCAAAGAGACCCTGTCTCTGAGCTCCTGGCAGTCCCACATTCGTGGTATCCCAGCAGTGGGGTTTGACAAGGGCCATGGTGGAGGCTCATGAGAAAGGGGAGCTCCCTTCCAGCTGCCCAGGAAGACTCTCTAAGGGTGACCACCATACCACCAGCAGTCGGGCCACAATGCCTTGGGTGAGGGCTGGGGGTGAGGGCGAGAGGAGATGAGTGGACTGGAGCTCAGTTATGAGCCAGTGTGAACCGAGGGTGCCTTTTTGTCCCCTGAAAGATAGCCAGATTTTCTGCCCTTTGCAAAAGTGTTTATTTTTGAGCTCTGCCAGCTCTGAAACATTCATGTTTCACCTGTGTTTTGAGCTGCAAAGGTCAGATGGGGTGCTGCAGCCTGGGCCACAGCTCTGGCTATATTTTCTTGGGGTTCCATCTTGCCTTGAGTTGTTGGACGTCTGTCTGGGTGGTTATGTTGGCACACCCACTCGCATGAAGCAAGTGAATGCAACCCCCTCCCATGAATTCCTGGAAGAGGGATCCCCATGAGCCACCAAGGGCCCTGGATCAGAAGAGGAGAAAACTGGATGGGACCATTTCCTGAGATAAGGAAGGACTGTTGGGGTTCCTGAGTGTTTAGATTTCTGTGCTCCCCACCACCACTCCCGAGCCTCTGTGTTGGTGACTGCGCCAGGTGAGGAGCACTGGGGCTGCCTGGTTCAGTGCAGCTCAGCAGCTTTGGAGCCCTGCAGTGGACACGCTGGGAAGCTTCTGGAGACCCAGGCCCACATGGGAGCCATCCATGCCTTTGCACCAGGCACTGTTGGCCACCTCTACGTGCCCACTTTCTCACGACAGTCCGAAGCAGTGCATTCAAACATCTGCACTCTCACATAGGGCTACACACACACACACACACACACACACACACACACACGACCAAGAGGCCCCGCCAGCTCATGCCCTGAAGTCCACGTGTCTGTGTTGAGCAGCAGTGGCCAAGTTCTTCGTGGGCAGCTGCGTCCCCTGTGCAGATCAGTCGAACTTCCCCCAACTGTGCCAACTGTGTGCGGGAAAAGGAATGGACAAGTGCGCCTGCTCCCACCACGAACCGTACTTTGGCTACTCGGGGGCTTTCAAGTGAGTGGGGCCCCCTTCTCCTCCTCTCTCTGATGTTGGGGAAACTGAAGAACAGGGAGTAGACGGGGCCTGCTCCAGACCACCTGAAGTGTCCTGGTGAAACCTTGGGTTTTTTGACTGTCTCCCACGGCACATCCTTGTTCCTGCCTGTCCTACAGAGGACTCTTCTGTGTGGGGGGGCTGTCATCTACCCAGAACCTGGTGTCTGGACCAGGGAGGCCCCTGGGATCCATAGACACAGGCTTGAGCACCCAGCCAGGCCGAAGATCAGGTCCTGCCCCGAGCCCTTCACTGGCTTCTCTCTGCCTGAGCATCTCCATGCCGGGTATATGTGCTGCGTCTCCCCACCTCCTCCTCAGCCCTGTGCCCGAAGGCACCTTTCCATTCAACATGCCTGCAAGGGACATCACTAACTTTCGAAACCCGAGCAAAACTGACCAGATATCCCGGCTGTCTAGAGTTTTTATACTCTGTGCTGTGCTGTGCTAAGATACTTCAGTCGTGTCCGACTCTCTGCAACCCTATGGACTATAGCCTATCAGGCTCCTCTGTCCATGGGATTCTCCAGGTGAGAATACTGGGGTGGGTCCTCTATGTAAAAGGCTTTTGACCTTAAAAAAAAAAAAAGTACAAAAACCCTATTGCTTCAGGCTGCCTACAAAGAGGAAGGTGAGGGTCCTTCTTTTGAACCATCCCTCCCCAGAGTTGCCTGGGACAGGGCTTATGGGGCTCCTGCCTATTTCAAACCCGGGTTTGGCTCTGGGGGTTCAAAGACTCCTCAGACAGGGCCGTTGCCTCTGCAAGGACAGACTGAAGCCTGGGAAACTGCAGGCAAAGCCCTGTGAGCCAGTTGCTGGGGCAGAGCATGAGGGGGGGCTGCTGGCGGGGTGGGGGGTGAGCCTATGTTGTAGACAGTGGCCTGACCACAGCTGTCCTGTTGCTCAGGTGTCTGCAGGACGGTGTGGGGGATGTGAGCTTCGTGAGGCATCTGACGGTATTTGGTAAGTCAGATGGAGGAAGAATCTTGTGGCCACACCCTGGCCAGAGGAACTCCTTTCCTAAGTTTCCTTATATCTAGAGATGGGTCATGCCAAGATCTTTAATGAAATAGAGTTTCTGTATAATGACACTTCCATTATCTGTGCTTTGTTTAGTGTTCAGTTTGTTCAGTTTATAAATCTACTGAACAAATTTCCTGAACATTTAAACATTCAGTTCAGTCACTCAGTCATGTCCGAATCTTTGCGACCCCATGAATCGCAGCACGCCAGGCCTCCCTGTCCATCACCAACTCCCAGAGTTTACTCAAACTCATGTGCATCGAGTCGGTGATGCCATCCAGCCATCTCATCCTCTCTCGTCCCCTTCTCCTCTTGCCCCATTTAAACATTACTTAACAGCTAATAAAGCAAGGTTTAATAATTAAATTCTGTTAGTCACTGAAATGCCAAATTCAGATCTAATCATGATCTCCTGAATGCTTCCTTATAAACAGTTCCTAAATGTTTTCTTTAATCACCTTAAACAAATAAATTCTTATAATGATTGCAGAACTTGTTAGCACATCTACGATTAAATCTATTGCAAAGCATTACTACTGTGGACAAAAATGTATTTCTTTTTTATTTCTATGTTAAAAAAAAAACTTTCCAAAGTTTTGGGGCAATTTATCAGAAACAAATAAAATAGTGTTTTATATGAGTTCAGTTTTCAGATTCTAGGTTTTATAACCAGTTAAATTTCTATCAGACATAGAACACGTTTGTAACACTTAAGATGTTTAAACAAGAGATGTATATTTTATACTCAGTTTATTTTTAAAATCACTGTCTGCTACCTCAAGCAGAATTTTGAGCCTTCACTTTTTCTGGGGGCCTTGATTCCTTGCAGACTGGTCTCTTTCCCTAACATGAAACAGAAGTGTACTGGCTTTGTTCCCTCACCTCAGCCGTTCATAATTTACTGTTCCCTCATTATAATACACTGACCTGGTTTATTAGCCTTTTGGCAATTGATGTGTGTCTTATTATCAGTAATTTTCATTAGTAGGGGAATCTATGGGTCTCTTCTCCCAAAATCAAGTTACTCTCAATAGTTGTCATTGTTATTTTCTGTGATTGCTCAAGTTGGAACAGTTAGGCCAATGGACAGAATCTTCTAACACTCACTCTGGAGAGCTGAAAACATCCTCACTTTCTGAAAACAACCAATTGTCTGAGACCATCTAGATTTCCCTTTGCTGAAAGTTGTATGTCCACTGTTACACACAATCCTGTGTTGCCTTTTAAGTGGGAGTTTCTGAGAGACTATCTGCTGGGCTTAGGGGTAAAAATGAGTCTTGGTGAGCTGCTGCCAGCACTGAGCACTGAATGACTGAGGTGGAAACGTTCTTTCTTTCTGAAGCTATTAGATCATATTGTTCTTTTAATTTTAACATTACAAAATTTGTTTAAATTTTTCTTTTAATATAAAGCTTTAAAATGTATTTTCTCTGCAACATGCCTGGTTGAATGGAACTGTTCACAGGAACTCTAATTGTACTCATTTTCTTTCACTATAAGATTTTATCAACCTAGGATATGAGTTTTCTAGGGCTGCCGTTACAGAGTACAGTCATCTCTCAGTTTACCAGCATTTGCAGGTCGTCAAGTCCCTTACATAAAACTGTGCAGTATTTGCATACAACCAGTGCACATCCTTCACATGCTTTTAATCATTTCTAGAGTACTTATAATACTTAATCAATGTAAATGCTATGCAAATAGTTGCCTCCATGGAAAATTCAAATTTTGCTTAATGGAATTTCCTGGAATTAAAAAAAAAAATCTTTGCAAATGTGGAACCTAGAAATATAGTGAGCGGCTGTAACACACTGAGTGGCTTAAGCAACAGAAATTCATTCTCTGAGTTCTAGAGGCTAGAATTCTAAGATTGGGATGTTGGCAGGGCTGGCTCTTCCTGAGGGCTGTGAGGGAGAACCTGTTCTATGCTGCCCACCTCTGTGGCTTCTGATGTTTGCTGGCAATCTTTGGTGCCATTGGCCTGTGGTTCCATCACCCCAATCTCTGTCTTTCCCTCCACATGGCATTCTCCCAGTGTGTGTGTGTCTGTTTGTGTCCAAATTTCCCCTTTTAGGAAGGACACCAGTCATATGGGATCAGGAGCCACCCTACTCCACTATGACCTCATCTTTTTTGTTTGTTTCCAAAAAATCTTTATTTACAAAAACAGACAACAAGCTAGACTTGGCACAAGGCTGTAGTTTTCCAACCACTGCTCTATCCTGTTTAATGTATTTGTCTATCTATGCATCAGTGCTAAATGGCTTGAATTATAGTTTTTAAGTAATGTTTCACATCTTCTAAGCCCAGCTCTGCTTCAACTCATTTTGCTTTTTCTCCAAAATGTCTTATTATTCTTGGTACATTGCAGTTCCATATAGATTTTTTTTTTTTTAGTTGACTAAAGTCTACACTTTCCTAACTTTTTACCTAATGTGTTTTTTCTGTGCTGTATTCTAAGATTCCAGTTACAACCTCATCTTAACTAATTACCCCTATACTATCTCTATTTCCAAATAAGGTCATATTTTGAGCTGCTGGGGATTAGAACCTCAACATATGAATTTTAGGGGGACACAGTTCAATCCAGAATACCTTCTAATATCTAGACTAGGGGAGCCAAAGAGTCTGTTTTCCTCACATGGTTTTTTGGTCCTTCTTTGTACCTGTATAGTATCCTGACTAGGTCCATTGGCCTCCATCCATCTCTCAACCCGCTGCCACCTTCCCCCAGCAGACTCTGTCCCCAGAGGAGTATTGCCACTTTAGTGAGGGACCTGAATTGTCCCCGCAGCATGGCTCTGTGTCAGCCCCAGACTAGGTCAGACTTTGATGATTTCCCTTAATCCTTCGAACCTCAGTCTCCTCATCTCTGCAATGAGATAATCACATTACCAGCCTCCCCCAGTTCTTATGAGGATTAAATGAAACAGAGCATAGAGAGCTTCAGCTCAGTCTCTGGTGTGCTATGAGCTCTCAGAAAGCATTTGCTGTCACCATTCTTGTTAGCAGAGCCCGGGGCAGAGCATGCGTCCCAGCCCTGGGTCTCTCTGCAGTGAGAATCTGTCATTTCATCTCCGGAGGGCTCAGCATCCTCACCTGTCTAAATGTATTTGGAAAAGATTCTCTTTTAGTCCTCTCCAGGCTGTTAAAAAAGTGATGAAAGAAGACAGTTCAGGTGATATAGACTTTAGCACTTCTTGAAGTGGGCCATTCAGTCTCCAGAGAACTGCAAAACTGCAGAAGGCAGGAAGCTTTGATGGGATAAAGAATAAAGAACAATGAAGAGAAAAACATAATATCTGATTGGCCAGGGTCACTTTGCCCAGGGTGAGAAGAAAGAAGGAAGGAGGTATAGAGCCCAGAGTTAGTTTGGCATTGGATGCCTGGCTGACTGGATAGACTGCATTTCTGTTAAGCAGAACATTTACAGGCACAGGAAGTTATCTAAGTTTCCATGGTGATGCAACATCACAGACAGGAGTGGCTTCATTTTGGGATTGGCAAGCTATTTCAACAAATCCCTGAACAAACACTTTGGGAGGGGTGGGCACCACAGCTTATGGTCTGCCGGCTGTCGGCTCATGTAGGCTTCCCTCCTCTAGAGAACCTGGCTAACCAGGCCGACAGGGACCAGTATGAGCTGCTCTGCAGAGAAAACACCCGGATGCCTGTGGACGCGTACAAGGGGTGCCATCTGGCCCGGGTCCCTTCCCATGCCGTCGTGGCCCGAAGTGTGGATGGCAAAGAAGACTTGATCTGGGAGCTTCTCAATCAGGCTCAGGTATCCCTGCCCCCTGTCTTCCCCTCCTGCATAGGGGTCCCTGCTTGGATTTGGGGTGCTTTCCCTCACTCTCTTCCAGCCACTGTGAAGTCCTGGTGTTGGGCACAGTGGGAACCACACCACATGTCCTCCGCTTCACTGACCAGAACTTGGTCTGGATATGTGATGGGCAGCAGTGACCATAAAACTCCCTTCCTTGGCATCACCAACACCATGGGCCAAAGACTCTGCAGAAGGCCACTGTTGCCCCATTTTATTCTTCTAGGTTGTATAGGGATCCTCAAGCTGCATTGCAGATGCCCCTTTTCCAGGAGCTGCTCCCCTCTCATCCCACTGGCCTGGACCCCTCAGCAGCAGGTTCTGACTGTGAGCATTTAGTGTCCTGTGCTGTAGGCCCTGCCTCCCAGCGCACCCACATCTGTCACCTGTCCCATCTCTGTTAGTGCCCTGCGCTCAGCACTAGGCATTCAGAGATGACCTGGACACAGACCTGCCATGGGATCACTCACAGATGACTGTGAAAGACACAGCGAGCATGCTGTATACAAAAATCACCGCCATGGGGCACAGCCTTGCATGAACTGTGTACTTTGAAGAGAGTGATTTGCAGGCTGTATCTGGAAAGGTTTCTGGGCCCCAAGAGTAAGCTGTGGACACTCCAAGGAGATGTGGGGTTTGCCAGAGAAGGCAGTATGCAGAGCTATTGCCAAAGCAAAAAGGAGACATTGCAAAGAGCATGTGGGTAGGTGCTACTGTCAGCTACCATCAGGAGCAGCTTTGGGCCAGTCAGTGGGGTTACAAGCAAAGGCCTCTTGGTTTTCTGGGAGGGCCAGAAAGAGTAAGGGACTGCTTGAAGTCCTTCATGGCAGGCCTGGGGCGTCAGGTGC